TATCAGAAACACTATTCGAATTATCTATATCACAACAGAACTTTTTCCATGATTCCGATTTGGCCTTGCTTATCATATGCTTTGCATCTTGTGTCTTCTTTTCCAATACAGATAAATTCTGAGGAGTAGGATTACGTCGGAAATGTTTTAAGGCTAATCTACGTTGTGCAACAATTGCCGATAGTGATGGATTCCAGTAATTCTTCGGTACGAACTTTCGTTTTATATTATTGCAAAATTTTACTAATGGAATGTTATTGTCAGCAGCTTGTTTAATTTTTTCTTCGAAGAAGTTATATTTATTTTGTAAATCTTGGTCATAAAACTCACTGCAACTATCAAATGATAATTTTAATTCCTCCTTGTAACCTGTCCAATCCGCTAACTTGTAATTCCTTTTTTTGGTTATATTGACTTTATCTGTATAGTGTAATGATATTTTGATCATGAGGTGATCACTGCCAAGTTTTTCATTCATAGTTTGCCAATTTAAACTTGTAAAAATATCACTTGAAGCAAACGTTATGTCGGGAGTTGATTCCTGAAGGATTCCATTGACTAATCGAATTCTCGTAGCCTGACCGTTATTAAGTGATATGAAGCTGTTTTCTAAGGCTGAATCAAATAGCTGCATTCCTCTCGTGTCATTTTTGTATGACCAATTGGTATGATGACCATTAAAATCACCAGCTATTAAAGTCTTGTTTTTATAAGCCGAGAAGAGGCTGTCCCAATTCAATTGAGTAGTATGTATCGTGGAAGGACAATAAACGGACACAACATGTTCGATATGTTTACAATTTTGAAAATGTTTTTTCTGTCTATGTTATTTGGATACTCAGATGTATTATGACGATTTTCAGTTTCATGAGTATCACACTTATAATCTTCCTGTTGATATTCTTTTCTGGTCTTCTTTGTTTTTGTTGATTTTATGCCTGACTGATCTTCTTTACTGTACGAGTCTGATTGGTTTTCTTCTTCCATACTCTCCAAAAATGTATTATTTTTCTTTGTATTCATTATAGGTTTATTTGATTTGACAACGCTGCTATAAGTGGGCCTAGAAGAAATTGGAAGGACGACTGATTGACAGTCCATATTTTCATTTACATATGATTCGGTATTTCCACCTTTGTTCTGTCTTAAAAATATTTGTAGGCCTTTTCTATACGTTATATTTTCTTCACTCATTATTTTACGAATCTCTTTTTCTCTAAGAAACGCTGGACAAGATTTATCCAGAACGAAATGTTTTCCTTTGCAGTTTAGATATTTTATATCTGTAGTGGTACAATTTTTGTGGTTTTGACCACATTTTGGGCATTTAATATTTTTACTTGGGCAAAATTTTAATATATGTCCAAATCTCCAACAGCCAGAGCACTGAGTGACCGGAAATACGTATCGTTCAACTTTAAATCTACACCCATAAGCATATACATACGGTGGAAGTGTTGAGTTGTTGAAGCATATACGAATTGTTTCACTTTTTGTCCATTTTCCTTCGGTATTTAAACGATTCAATCGATTGACTGAAATAATTTTGTAACAGGATTCGAATATCTCAATAATATCTTTATCTTCAAGCTCTAAATCTACTCCTCTTACTATTCCATAAGATAAGGCCATCTCAGATACTATCTGACATCTGCCACCCATCTCATTAATTTTGGTGCATTTCATTAATTTTTCAGCCTCATGTCGATTTTCAAAGTCAATAAGTACTTTATAAGGACTTTTGTATTTTATTCGAGTAATACTCTCGATGTTTTCGTTTTTTAATAATTTGGCTAAAGCCATTTGTTTTGGTAGTATTTGTAATGAGGTTATGCATACTTCTGTTTTATTCTCAGTACTTGTATCAGTTAAATTATTCGAATTTACGATTGAAGTATTCCTGTTTAATCGTTTCGATCGTCTCTTGGTAACCGTTGTAAATTCATCTTCGATAATTTCTTCGCTGTTTCCACTTTCTTCGCGGGTTCTCTTCTCCACTAATTTATTTTTAGATAAGTCTCGTTGCGTGTTTTGATTTTCCAAACCTTTCCATTCAAATATTTCTTGCATTTCTTTCTCACATTCCTTTAACACTTCAGAATCGCTCATATTCACATTATTATCATCGTCATTATCACTATTTTCGCTCATTTTAATTTATTGTATTATCCGAGGGTACTTGTAAAACAAAATACCAATATGTATGATGTGGCTAGCCAATACACTGCGCACGTATGCTCACTGCAACTCCAACCGCGCAACTGCAGATTGAAAGTTATTTTTGGATTATTATAATATTGTTTGACTAAAATCTAGAATCTTTATATTGGAATAGTCCCGAATAATAGTAGCAATAACTCGGGGGAATGCAAAAATCTATTACACCCGTTTTCTTGCTTCCAGCAGTCACTGAATATTGCTCATCTACATAGTTTACAGTTGATGCGTATTTACTATGTCTATAACATTTCTAACGATTTTCACTGATATTTAAGTGATGAAACCGGGAGAGGTTTTATTTTTAAAGCAATGTCAATTTAATCATGTTTAGAATTTAATAATAAAATCACTATAGCTGTCGTAAAAGAAGCAAAAAAAGAATCTAGTCATATTTATTAAATTATAAGATATCTAAAAATTCATTAAATCTAAAATAATCCACTTCTTTCTTGGGCGTAGACGTATAACAAATAACACAAATTAAAAAAAATGTGTTTAAAAAGTGATTCTGTTTATGTATTTGAGTACGTCAGCGCAAAAGTGGCCTAAGCCACAATGTTTAATATTCGTATTTATTTGTTGTTTTTTTTTAACTTAATAAACAACAATCCTAAATCGGTCTAGTCCTATGTAAAAATAGGAATAGGCTGGTATTGCATCATAATTTATAAAGTTTTAAATAAATTACAATATATAAGTACGAATATGAAAAATTATGTGTTAGGCACTAACCTTTGTGCTGGCGATTTCATTTATGTGTGGCTATTTAATGATAATATATTATATTAAAATAAATATTTATATTTTGGTTGGTAGGCAAAATGCGGTCTGGTATGTATTGGCAATACGCCGCTGGAGCACAGTTAATCGCCTCTGATTGTTATAACACTGGTGATTTGAATACAGTTAGAGCCGCCATGCATACAAACCACATAATTTCCATCGCCCATTGTTATTTATACGGAATCGGGGATAAGTGAGTTGGTGGCTTTTGATGAGTTTGATAATTGCATGTATGTTGATGGGGGCTGTTGTGATAATACATACATAATTATTTCGTTACATTCCTTGGTATGGTAAACACAACGTTTGATTGAAGTATATGTATCGATATGACTCAAAAAGGTCGTATATTTAAAAATTAATTTTCATGATGTAAGTTAATATCTTAAAAAAAGTAAAAAAAATACAAGTTAGACCTTTCATTTGATGCCTATATTGGGTGGGTTGTTCAAAAAATATGTACGCTGCCATTTTGTTACGGGGGCCATTTTGGATTATTAGTAATGAAGATCATATGTTAGTGCATGGTCATCAGAATTTCAAGGTATATTTTCGCTTTGAAATTTAGCTTGCAAGATTTGATTACAAAAAGACAAACATCGGGACATTAAATACAAGCTTTCAATAACAATTGTTTGCATGCATTGAAATAAAATTGAATATAGAAAAGACAAATTCGAGTTTACTTTCTTTTATAAAAATAAAGTTGATTTATTATGTAATTTAATGTCATACTGCTTTTTATAGATAGTTCCATAGTATTTATAGATTTTCATAATTATTCCAATAACTTATATTGGAAAAATGAAGTCTAAATATACATTTTGCAATATAATTTTATCCGTTTACAATTCAATTCATAGATAATTGTCTTCGTTCACAGAATGCTTTGAATAATGTCAGCCAATTTGACAGTTGGTTCGTTCCAACCCCTTTTGTTGTCACTTGACGAACTTGTCCCCGGGGGCTTATTGACGCTCATGTGTCACACACGTGTCACTCTAATTGGCTATTATTAGTAACTATTTTGTGACATTCATAGGTCAGATTTATTTACAATCTGTGTGAGATGAAGCATCACTTCGATGGGATCTAGAGGTAAGTACAAGTATAAAGACATTAGTGCTAAATCTGTGACTTCTCAGAAAAGTTTCCTCAGGTTTATTTAAAAAAATCTTATGAAATTTGCTATCATCGAAACAAAAATTACGACAACAGATTGCGTTTTTTTATTTTCAAAATTTAATAACTTTTTTACGGTTTACTTTTAATCTTTTACACATTTTTGTGCCGAAAAAAGTTAATATAACCTACAATGACTACAATCCATTTATTTTATTGATAAAATTAATTTATTCTCATCATTCAAACGCGATTCTTACAATAAGCCTAAATTCCTTTATATAAATAGTTTGTTGGCTTTATTGATTGGCTTAGGAAACGCGCAAACTTTTTGATATTAGTACATTCCTTTAGTTCGGTATCTACATCTGCATCCACATCAATATTTGCATCTGCACCAATATTCACATCCCTAATAGTCTAAGAGATCGGGACAAAATGGAGCAAGAGCTTTCTAAAGCTAGTTATTTTAATATGTTTAAATACAAATTATATGTATACATCAGTCAGTGTGGTCAGGTGCTGGAATACATGGTGGCGCTGGGGTAAATTAAAGTACTCAAAATGGTAATACCTATTACTAAAGGTGCTGTTTAATAGTTTAAAATTAGCGAAAAACTTATTCTTAACATAAAAAAGTAGACAAAATTGCTTAGATTGCTCAGAAGTTGGTGTGAAAATGAACTCCGAAAAAAAGTTTCATAATAGTTGATAATTCATTTATTAATAAATTACTTATAATTTAATACTCAATTTTATTCAGTTAAAGCACAAATATACAACAAACTGTTAAAGTCTTAAAATATACCTAGTTGATTTTATTCAAATAAATAAACTCAAAGATTTTTAAATACTATTTAGTATACATACTACAACTAGAACTCCTGCGGTCCATAATATACTCCGTGGAACAAATCGTATTCTCCCGTGGAGTCCCGGAAGGAGATGATAAAGTAAAACGGTCTGTCTAGCGCAACTTCCTTCATATTACTCATAAAATGTTGCATCCGTTCGAGGTCCCTTACATCTGTTATCATTTACAAATATCTTTTTAAGAATTTTTATTTTGCCAAAAAGGTAAAGGTAAAAAATTAGACCTTGTAAGAACTGGTTTATATGAATTAGTTTATCGAAATAGAATTGTTACGTTTAAATTTTAATAATTAGATGTCAAAGTATTAAAATAATTAATACCTTGATATCGCTGAGGTCTTCTTATTCCAAACTCATCGATCTCCAAGAATACTTTCTGTTTGATTCTGCTCAAATAAACTTTGTTAATACTATCTCTTTTCAGTATATGGTGCAATCCAGAATGAGTCTCGTTCATAATTTGGCTTATACCAATCTGAAAAATAACACATTTCTTTGAAGAAGAAAAGAATTTGAGATTATTTTTAACTTTATGCGAATGCATATTTTTTTAAGCTTTTGACGGAAACGTCGTAATGTGAATTTCGAAATCTTCTCCAGCGAAGGTAAAAATATTATATGGTAATATATCTAAATTATATTAATATCAGAAAGCATTATAATTTAAGTCGTAATATTCAAATCGACACAAAAGGTCTTATCTTATCATTTTTATTTTAATACAGAAAAAAATATTTTCTAATAAAAAAATAATATTATTGTGTTCATACAGAAACATATAGTATAATTAAAAAACCACCGATTTTTTGAGTCAGTTAATAAAGTATAAGATTTAAGCAAAAGAGAAAGTTGTCAATAAAATGTTTCAAATACTTCCGTCGCTTATTTTTAAACGAAATAATACATACCAATCTCAGAAAATCTGTCCAGTCTACATATGTCTTGATTTTAAACTTAGGTATAGCTATATTAACAACTTTTCGATTCATACGACTCCGCAGTTTTTTCATTAGAGTGGTATCTTTATGGATTTTGTCGATAAAAGATGGCAGAGCATCGGTGTTGTGGGGCATTACGATAGTTATTTGTTCTTGCAAAAGTGCTAGTGTTATCATCTGAAAGCTAATATTTAATGATTTATGTTTTACTCAATATAGTTATTGCTGAGTTCTTCTGATAAAACTGTAGCATTAATGACTGGTCAACTTACTAACAAAAATGGCGTCGATAATTTGACTTACTAGAATAGATTTATGAAAAGAACATTTTCTGTAATTCCTAACAACATTATTAATTTTTGTTTTCAAGGGCATTATCAGCTTATTCATATCCTGCTGCTGGTTTTCGTTTGGATGGAATTGAATAGAGAGAATGGGCAACAACAACAAATAACGCGTGTCTAGTGCAGATTAGTGGAAGATAACGACTGCAGATGCAGCGATCAACGGCTTAGTGCGCTCTATAGAACGAAGAAGCTTAATTAATTTTTGGCCGGTCATAATATTAGTGTATGACCGGCCTTTACAACAGTTGCTTAACTTCTGCATTGCAGACTTAACGCGCTAATCACTACATCATCAATTTTCTAATGGGCACAATATTAAGATATAATGATCTTTACCTTTATTGTTGGTATCTAAAGTTTTATTAATTACTATCACATTTACGCTTACAAAGATCAATCTCATTCGATACCTTGATATCATGATTTGGTTCCTCTAAATAAAGTACGTCTTCTACAGTAACCATCATTGGTGTTTTCCATATCTCGCCTTTTAGGTTGTAAAATTTCTTATCCTTAGTTAACTGTGGATAGAATGGTTTTTCCCAAACACCCTGAAAAGTTTTAAGAGATATATTCCATGGTCTTTTTTAAGCTGTAAAAAAAGGAATCGAAGTTCATTACTCACTTTGTAATTTGCTGCGTTCAAAACGATCATTGACGTGTTAATATTGACATCAGCAGGATCAATTATATTAGTAACCCTTTTCAACATTTCTCGTTCTATCTGCGTTGAAATTTACCTTTGTTATATTTTTGAATCATTTTAATTTTCCCACCTTTCCTTTTAGACCTATCAAATGGCTCATTTAATTTTTTTGTAATTTTGTTTGTATTGTTGCATCAAAATCACATCCGTTCAAAACGGTTTAACCTAATTTTTCAAAGCCTAATTTTATTACCGTGAAACCTTCAAAACCTATTTTGAAAATTTTATATATTGTAGTCTAGTGTAGCTATATGAATAACCTTTTATTGTTTCCTATAAAATCTAAAATTGCTAAAAAAATCACAGAGTGACAGAGACAAAGTTGATTCTTTAAGCATTTTTCACTAAGCATATTTTTCAGTGTAGAATGCAAAATTGATCAAATATGAAAAATATTTAAATAAATTTCACCTGTCTATTAATAAATTGCGATGCGGCTATTGAATATTTAAATCCGACTTTTTCCACTCTCAGTCCAAATAACTCAGTAGAGTTTTCAATAAAATTGGGATCGATATCGAGACTTTCATTTACATATATTTTGGTGGTCGTTAGAAAATCTGTTTTCTTCATAAGCAAAGTACGGTACCGGAATTGCTTATAGCAATTGGCAGTCTGGAAAAATGTTATACAATAATATTTTATGGATTGTTTTCCTTACCCCAATACTGTTTCAAAGATCGATAAGACTTTAATAGTAATACAATATCTGTGAAGAAATGAACTGTACACCGACTTCAATAATATTGAAATCGAATGAAATATTTTTCTCGATGGTATTTTAGTAAATATTGAAGTAAACAATGACTTGAGGTATTTATAGTAGTTCTGGCATAATACAATTTCTCCGTAATCGTTTGAGGATAACTGCTTTAAAATTCAGTTACATTCATACACTACAAGTTAATTAATAAGCTGGTAAATAATACGAGTAGTATACGACAATTTAGTTACCCACCATATTCTCTGTCATGAAACCGAACGCTGTCATGAGTTCGAATTTGGCCAACCCTCTTCCAACAGATGCCAGCTTGCAAAGTGGAAACTTTATTAACAATGATGACACCACTGTATTGACTGGACTTACTTTCAGTACCTCCTAAAATTAAATATTTTTGAGTATACCTAAAATATGAATAAAATGAAATATATAATAGAAATAAGTATTTAATTAAATTACAAAGTTCCTGAGGTTATTACATACTTAATAGACGGGTATTAGACGCGATTTTAACACTGACCTGCGCCGATGTTCAAACCAGTGTAAAAATCGCGTCTTATACCCGTTATTATAAGTATGTAATAATGCAGCGAGAGAGTTTAAAAGTATATTCCTAAGGCTATGTTCCAGTTCTATCAGATACAAGAAATTATTATGGACCAAAGTCAAGACAAATCAAAAGAATGAACACTCAATAGGGTTACATTAATTATAGAGGCTTCCTGGTTCTTTTGTCATCATCACCAAATCATCTCTACTCTATATTTATATTGCGTTATCATCAAAGTTATGAGGAGTTCAATGGCGCAGTGGCTAGCGTGTTCGGTTTGCGATACGCTTGTTAAGCAACTTTCGCAATGGTCGGTTATAGGATGGGTGACCAAAAATTTATTATCTCGAACTCCTCCGTTATTTAGAAGGCACGTTAAGCCGTTGGTCTCGGCTGCAACTGCAGTCGTACTGGGCCAGCGTGGTGGGCCATCCTCCCTATTCGATTCGATTCCATCCACAGGGAAGGCCTGAGCCCCAGCAGTGGGTATATAAATAGGTTGGTGATGGTGACAAAAGTTATAAATGCATCCAAAATGTTTGCTCAATCGAAAATCAGGAAGTAGGACTTTAGTTTGAAAGATTTGACCCACACTGACTATTATAGCGATAAAAGCCTATTTAAATCCCTTTTGAAATTGTTTACGGACATAATTATTTATCTATAATATCTTAAAATCAAGAAAATTTTGTTGAAAATTCCGGTTGTGTTAAACTAGTATTTTAAAAAATAATTCTAAATCTACTACGTGGTATATTTTTGGAACTAGGATGTTTCTAAAACATTCTAGGAAGATCATGAAAAAGTTTTTGGAAAAGTATTCATGATGATAATTTAGTGCACCTATTTTATCATTATATATATAATTATGACTTACCAATGCTAGTTTTGTATCTAAACTGTTGGTAATATATTTAATGGGAATTCTCAATTCAGACACAACACCGATCGCCAAGAGTGTAACTATAAGTAAACGATAAAAATTAGATCGCTAAGGTAAAAATATTATATTTTAACAAATTATGAACTCTTACATAATATCACTTTCATTTTGCTTCGACTGGCTGTCGAGAGGTGAACTACAGTAGTAAAACATATTTTATTCTCGATACAAAATATTACATCGATAAGCTATAAGAATCTTGTCGTAAAACTGACGTGTCTGCGCGTGAAATATTTTTCTGAAGTTTCATCGAAAATTGCTTCCGAACTATTTAGTAGATTTAGATTTATGTAGATAAATTGTTTCGATAATTTTTCACGATTCTTTCTATTCCAATTATCACTTGAACATACGAACGTTATAATGTTAGCAAATTGTGTTTTTTTTAAAGATAGTATTTAAATGTAATCTAATAATTTATGTTTATTTAAAGACATTTAAATAGATTTTATATTGTAATCAGTGTAATCACTATAGTAAAAAAATGGAGCTGTCATCTTTTAAAGACAAAAGCCCAAAAAAAATTAAAGATAATTAAAAAAAATAATAAAAATTAAAATTTCATGGACTATTTATTTCATTCTATTTTGAATTCTAATATCATTGTATATTATTTGTTGTTATTTTACTTTCATTTATTTTGATTGTCGATAAGGAGAGAATATATATACAGTAATAAAAAATAGTTTAGATAGAGGTTTATAACCTATTACTTAACGATCGGATAGAAGACGCGGGTCCGAATGTGTCTGCGAGCTACAACTACTATTACTGCGAGAACAAATATTACTTATATCGATAACAAATAAATCATTACATTATAGATAAAACTGTTACATTAAGTACTTCAAGTGATTGTTGCAGAAACGTCTGTATAAAAGCAGAGAGGATGCCGAGGAGCCTTCTATAGAGCCTCCACAAAGGCTCCGATAAGCCGAATGAGGAAAAGGCGATAATGTAACCGGAGTGTTCCCGGTCGCTTTGACGGCCGAATCAAATAAGTCGTCGGCAGAGAATAGTAATAAAATTGAACCGAGCGCCTGCCCAGATGTAGCTGGATTTATCGTTCGTGGAGGCTGTAGGCACACTAAGAGACAAGCTAAGGTGTTTGTTTGGAAATAGCCATAGTACATGGGGAATGTAAAATTTGAATTTATTTCTGAAATTAAATATGAAGCTTGAATACTGACCTCTTATTATAATTCCTTACTTTCGTGCTTATAAGAATAACGAGATAGGAGGATATAAGTTTTGTTAGACAAATAATGCATTACTAATTTGAACCTGAATTAAAAGCAAATTCACTTTCTCTACATTATATATCATAATAGTCTTAGTATTGTCTTTAGGTATAGGTTGAGTGTGTATCATATAAGACAAAATTAATCATGTATATCGATTTATCACACACCATTTTAAGGGCCTGACTTGTAGATGCAAATGGAAAGTAGTGCATCTTTAGTGCAACTTCTATCCGTGTGAAGTAGATTATAGACGTGCTAGAAAAACGCTTTAAAGGAGATTTCAAAATATATTGATAGAGCTCACTGCTTAGACGAATAGGAAATGCTAAAACAGATCTACACTAAATGACACGAGAAATATTGAAGAAGAAGAAAGGGAAAGACTTAAAATGTACTCATAAAATAATAGAGTGTTGTATAACCACCATCAGCTAAACATAATTTTATATATATAATATATATATATATATATAATTAATTTATATAATATATAAAGACATAAATATAATTGATCCCTCGGTATGCCACGGGCGGGAGGCAGTCGTCGCGGCGCGCTCGCTTACACATTCGCCGAGCTGCATCCAATATGTTACCCAGCATATTGTCTTTAACAGCTCCATTATACGACGATAGATTGTGTGGAAACTCCACGCTCTTCGTTGCGAAGAAACGGGCACTATGAATATTTTGTTTGTTTAGGCAGATATTGAGATGCGCAGTGATATATTTCTTCGGCTTATCAAAATAAAATTGCTATTAATTTCCGGCAGGAACGTTTTCTTGGTAAGTTTTTTCTTCAGTCCTTATTTTCATTGAAATTTACGTATTTGTATTTATTTGGTTAACATATTTGGTTATTTATTGTAATCTCTTTCGTTGCAGTTTTTGAAAAAACATATAAAACACATACATGCTCTTGAGTTTCGAGTCGAAATGTAGGTAAAAATACTGTGTATTTTTTATATTATCAGATTACAATAAACGTTGCCAATTTAGCTGATTTTGATAATAAATTTAGTATTCAATGAGATGAACTCCAAAATAATTACATTTGAATTACAATTTACAAACTTTCACTTTCGTTATTATACTTTAATATATTTTTAACAAAGAAATACATACATACATATTGAAATCCATAGAGACATAGTGAGAATATCTATACAGCATTATTAATATTAAGCAATATAATTTAACATGGGTATTATAGTAAACATTTAACAACATCACACAATGTATTTTATTACAATATTTACCTACACTGTAACACGTGTAACACTCAACACTTTCATAGAATTAAATTTCTTCATCGCGTTCTTACCGAGATTAGAGTCACCACAATCGGATCCCTTTACAGTTTGAAGTGGTCCCAATTCATGATTTCCCTAAAACATAATATAATGTAACATGATCTTTAAAACAAAGAGTTTCAACAGTACTTACTTCTACTTACATAACCACAACAAGAATGCTTTTGTATACTTCTAGTATTTCGAATATTGTACGAAAATGGTAATGAATTTCATTTAAAACGTAAACTAACAAGAA